CCAAGTGCCTATGTATCAAATTTCGTTTAAATTCTTCCATAAATAAAAAAGTTGGCACTGCGCATGCGCAAAACCAAATTTTGAAATTGGCGTTTGATTTTCCTTTATTCCAAGTGCCTATGTATCAAATTTCATTCAAATACTTTTATAAGTAAAAAAGTTTGCAATTCGGTTTATAAATGGTCGAGATGCGAAAAGGGCACTGTGAATTTTGAATCGATTCGATTCAACTTTTGGCATTGCGTATTATATGGTTAAAGCTATGCCCATATTGAATTTCATGCAATTCAGTTCATAACTAACGGAGATGTAAAAGCGATCGAACATTTCTAAACAAAGTTATCGTTCACACGGACAGATAGATGGACAGACAGACAAAGGAACAGACGGAGAGACCAACCGGCAGGCGACAGATAGCAATGCAAAATTATAAACGATCTCTAGGATCGTTAATAAACGGCAAAAGTGTAAAATTATGGAACATGTAAAAAACGGTTTTTTGTTTTTTTTACAATAACTTTTTTTGTAAGCGGTACAGAAAAAATTCCTTCCTTGGTACAAGACTCGACACCATAACGAACCAAATAGCGAAAAAAATAGAACAATAGCTCTTAAGATAAAGAACTAGTAGCGTCGCAAAGTTAGCGGACGGACGGACGGACGGACGGACGGACAGCCGGACGGACGGACGGACGGACGGACGGACGGACGGACAAAGTGGCCACAATAGCGCATTTTTTTTTTATTTTTGTGGAAATGCGCTAAAAATAGTAGATTTTTTCTTTTCCTTACATTTTTTTAAATGGTAATCATAGTTGGCTGTGACATTTTTAAAAAGTGAATTTTTTTGTGTTTACAATGATAAAAGAATCATTGTACTTACTTCGACAAATAAACATGATAAAGAACTGTTTGTATTATTAAAAGTAGTAAAAACAGATTTTGCCATGGGAAACATTTTTGTGCTTTTAATTACCGTCTATTATAATTTTTAACTTGCAGTTAGTTGTGCGGCGGGGCACCGTTGTGTTGAAACCAGCGTCGTGTTTCCAAATCTAACCCATCCTACATATCTTGAAATTCATTTGGTAGAAAATGAAGATAACATTGGCCTGTCCAATTTTCGTCGTAAATGAACGGTACCTATCTCACTAAATATTATTTTCCATGGCCAACTCTGTTTACTTACCTCTCAATAAGACGAAAATTACTGCAGGGCATTTAATTATTAAAGTACATTTAGCAAGCCTTATATCGTTATAAAGAGAAAAATTTGTCCTTTTTAAAAATGTCAAAGCCAACTATGACTACCATTTAAAAAAATTGAAGTTTGTATTATAACTCAAAAATTGTAAGATCTAAAAATAAATTAGTATGTTCATCATGGTAACCATTAAAATGTCTAAAACTTTTATTCGTGTCATTTTGTTGTTTTTCTAACAATAACGATTCTACAACAGTTAAATGAAAAATACTAAATCTGTTTTTCGCTCATATCTAGTGAACTGTGGATTTTTTTCAAAAAACAAAAGCATATCTTAAATAAGCTCTTAAAACGACAACTCTTTCCTCATTTAATCGAATCCTTATGTCTTATGGTTTACGAGATCCCAATGCTTAAAATGAAAAAAACTTACCCTGTATATAGGGGATCCTAAGAACAGGTTGTCCCATTTTCGACACGGTATCTCCGTAACTGTTAGTGCTATCAAGGAAAGAATAGATAGGCTTCATGGGCTCTTTTTGGATCAATGGTAAACTCAAAAATTAGAAGATATGCTTTCGCTTCAGAGCGATGGGGGAACATCAAAAAATGGTCAATTTCAAAATGACCCTATATTTTCTTAGTTAAAAGATACAACAAAAATTATTAGTACAAAAGTTTGTTTATGAAATAATCTACATAGATGATAAAAAAGCTTTAAGTAGTTTAAAAAAATTAAAAACATTCAAAAAAGATTTAAAAAAACTCAAAAAAGTTCTAGGAATTCAAAAAATTCATTAAAACAGATTTTGAAGTTCTCTTTTGAATTTTTTTCTTGTATTATATTATAGAAAAAAGAAAATAATATACTATCTTTTTTTAATTAAAATCTACTGGGTGTTCCATTTTAAAAAAAGGTTAGCTCTTTTCTCGGCTTTTTATACGTGATTCCGTATACGTAATTTGAACACGGCAAATTATTCACCAATTATTTACCCCCGTACCTCTTAGGCGAGGGAAAACTTCCATATTTTGATTTTACCTTTTTTGACTTTTGACTTTACCTTTGATTTTAACTACTTCTACAGTTTTCAATATATTTAGTTCGCTCTTTTTGAATTCGATAGCTTATAGCTCTGGCACCCGAACCAAGAAAAATCATGATGATTAATGTGCGCATGCGCAAGCTGCACAATATCAACTTTCTTATTTGTTAATATATTTCTTTGAAATTTTAACCAAACATGCTTTTAGTAAAAGTTAACGCATATTTTAAACAGCAGATTAATGTGCGCATGCGCAGGATGCGCAATGCGTAATATCTACTGTCTTATTTATCGACATATCTTTTGAAAGAGAGAGGCTTCTGTTAAAGGCAAGCATATCTCACATTGCACACATTAGACGTGCGCTTGCGCAGTCTATGCGCATTCTGGACAGTACCAACTTCCATATTTATGAAGATATTTCTTTGAAATTTTAACCAAAGATCTAGTAAAAGTAAACATATCGCATATTGCCAAAATAAGCGGCGCGAATGCGTAGATTGCGCAATGCCACCAACTTTCCTAGCAACTTTCTTACATATTCATTGATATTACCTACTTTGAAATTTTAACCATAGATGCTTTTTGTAAAGACAAACATATCCATAGCCTTTTGGGAAATATTGGCAGGGAAAATGCGCTAAAGTTACTCGCCTTAGGACGAAAACCTTTTTACTTTTTGAGTTTGGGAACAGATCGAGGAACAGATAGTAATAATAATAATAATAATAGTCTTTATTTGGTTTCCATTAAATCATAAGTTACAAAAAAAGGGTTTATCATATTTTTAAAAAAAAGGAAAAAGGAAAAACGGAAAATAACTACTACTTTCAGAAACCAAACCACAAGGGGAGGTTCAGTATAAACTGCTCTTCCACCTAACCCTTGAAAAGCAAAACAAACCATAATTCGTGATAATGAGCAATGCATTTTAATAACTAAAATGTGTGAAAAACAAAATAATATTATGGGGACATATTTATACATAATGAAATTTTAATTTGGCTACGCATAGGTACATACTGATTTTGTAATAGAAGTTTTCTGAGCTTGATACGAAATATTGAAAGTGGCAAATCTTTTAATGCTAGCGGTATATTGTTATAAATATGATGGACCGTGTAACTGAATGGCCTTTCAAACAAAGCTGTTCTGTGATTTGGGGGCGTAATTAAATTCCTAAATCGTAAGTTTAGATGATGTACATCAGTCCGGAATTCTATTTTTTTATATAAGTATTTTGGACATTTTTGAGTTATTATTTTACGACATAAACAGGCCATTTGCAGATACCTCCTATTACTCATATTTAGCCAGTTAGCATCGGCTAGTTTGTGCGATATATGATCGAACTTGCATATCCCAAAGATTAAACACAAGCATGCGTTTTGCAACCTTTGAATCCTTTGCTCCATATCTACAGTTAAACAAGGTACTAGTCGCATGGTGCGAAATCCGGACTGCAGGGCGGATGTTTTAATTCGTGCAAGCCACTCTCGATAACTTGAACTTTTTGAGTCTTGTACACCCTGCATTTATCGTGTAGTGTAGCAGTATGGTCTTATCGGAAAAATTCTGAGGTCGAGCTCGAGGTCGAGTCTGAGGTTTTTTCTTTTGAATGGTACCTTTAACTTTAAGGTACTCGATCAACAGATTCCGCTCACAATCCGAGAAAGCCACTGCAAACAATTTTCTCGTCGAACACTGCGTTTTCGCTTTTCTTGTGCGATTCTTGTTGGAGGATTCCAGTGATACACCCAGGTTTCATCGTCAGTGATAATTTTCAATAAAATAGGTCTGTTTTAAACCGATCAAATTTTCCTGGCACATTTCCTGCCTCGCATTTTGGATCAACATGGATTTTCAACCGCAATGAAATTGTTTCGACCAGAATTTTACTTTATATGATGGAGCATTCTCACCATATGTATATGGCAAGCATTAGTTTATGGATAATTTTTAGCGAGATTTTTAGGCATGTTTCCTCCTTAACAAAAAATGTTATAGTGCTCCATGATTTCATTTATTTTTCAACATATAAAGCGCCATAAAAACTACAAACATGTTCGTAATTATTTGCGTGTCTCGGTAGATTACATAAAAATGCCCCTCGAAATTCCCCCTCGTACTATTACATGTGCATTTGCAATATGAGTACAAGGTGTAATGTACTTCAACGAGATAGTACCTACCGGTATATAATAGGTAAGTAGCCTACTTGTACTCAATCGAACTGCAAGTAACTCACTACATTATTAATTTAAGAAAGTGCAATATGTCATTGAGAAACCCTACACCCTATGCTAAATGCAATATGTACCTAGTCAATACAGGTAACTACCCTACCACATTACTAACTACTTAATGCACAAAAATTACCTAGAAAATTGAAGCATGTCGTATGATTGCAATGTTATCACTTGTCCTTGTGTTTTTATCAAATAATTAAACTAGTACTTTAAAAAACCGTTACATTACTAAAATTAGCAATCAAACTGAAAATTGTCAACATGAAAGTTGCCGAAGCCCACATCATCTCGAATTTGACACAATTATCCATATCTATGCACCTGAGCAAGGCGCAAACCAATTTACAAAATTTTGTTTGTTAAAAATTGGCCCTATGAGGGCACTTAACTTATAAAGATTATTTATTAAAACACGCAAGAGTTACTATTTGATACAACTTTCAGGTCGTTTAGGTTCATTCATCCATTTCGATACTAAACAAATTATAATTTAGAATTTACCTTTTCTCGTGCACAATCTGTTTCCGTAAACACCTTTTGGGGTGATCTCCCATCGAAAGCCAAATTATCGCCGTTGATTTCACTGAACTTCATTGTGTCTTCCAGTACACAAAATTTATTTCACTTTATGCCCTTTTTTATTTTTTCGTTTTATGTATCGAAAAAATTCACTTCTGGCAAATACTTGCGAGGTGCCCCGCATATTTTACGTAACCGCACTCCTGCACGCTATCAAACTACATGAATTTGGTAACAAATAAAATTGCAAAAATCGACGAAAACGAAAATTCTATTCGAGTTCCAAATGTGAAATAAAAGCCGCGATGGAATTTCAGGCTACGAGTTGACTCGTTCGCAAACGGTTCGCACGCGTCTTACCGCACTAACGTATTTGGCCCCTTTGAAAGTCGGACGGAACAAAACAATACCCTCCTCTTTACGTTTACGTTTACAAAGCCAACTGGCAAGGTAAGGTAAGGTAGGCGAGCGCATGCAACAGCGGCTTTCCTTTTCCTTTACGTTACTTTACCTTCCGACGTTTACAGCTTTAGCACAGCTGTTCCGATGTTGAATTGATACAAATACCGTCTTTCCGAAAAAGTGCGGGAGACACGGGAATAATTCGATTCGGTTATTTTGAATGAATGAAAAATGATGAACAATTTTTGAAACATTGTATTTGATTATACACTATCAAAATAATGGACTATCTTAAATAAAACTGCGGTTTTAAAGATTTTAATGAATCATTATGACGATGGCGTAACTCCCGAAATTGCCGAAGACTTTGGTTAGGAATTACCAAGTTTCGGAGGAACATCAACCCGAAGCCATAACTGAAATTAATATATTTTTTGGAGAACATTCTCTACGTTTCCTACATTTACAAACGATACATGGAAACGTAAGCAGCGACGCTTTAAAAATGAAAACAACCGGCATTATTTTTGTCAACATAAATCTGAATGCCTTTGAGATGTACGGAGTAGCAAAAGGACCATTTAAGTTATTTTTTGTTAATTTATAGATGTAACTGTATATTTACACATTTTTTAGTCCAGTAATTGAAGGTAAAATTCACCTTTTTACCCTGGGGTGGAACCATTTTGTAGGTTTTTTCAACAGAAATGAAATCATATATAAATGAGTTGCTACATACTCAATTTTTATCTTCCGACAAAAAACGAAGATGTACAGAAAAGCAAAGCCTACAATTCTGCATTCGACGAACGTCGGTAATAAGTCGGCGCACAAATGGCATGAAAAATTAAATTACCCATTAGCGGAATAATGTTTATAATTTAATTTACAAGAAAAATAAATAAACTTACAAATTTATTTATTTATTTATTTATTTTTAATTTGTTGCCAGTACGTTCACTAAATATGTATATACACATTAACAACACGTACGCAAAAATGTGTCACATGGTTACAAATAATAAAAAGTAAAAACACATTAAAATCTAAACATGGACATGCAAATATAAAATTTTTAGACATAAACAAATGGGGAACAATATATAGAAGTAATAAAAAACACTTAAAAGACTTATTTTTTTCTTAAAAATTCATCTAAGTGGTAATTAGATTATAGTCATTAAATCATGTGAGCGGACGAAAGTAGGAGCAGTCGGTTCTATGGGCGGAATGGACGAACGGACTGATGGACAGACTCGAGCGCTACCAAGGGTACGGCCTTGCCACTGGTCAAGGTCGGCGGTAACAGCGGTTTGGCGTATCGGTCTCCCAAACCTCGGGCGAACTCAAGCGGAGTAAACGGCAGCTCCAGGAATTCTAAAGGGCAAGCGACGGTCGGCTACTGGTGAACGCTAAAACACGCACAGCATGTTCCCTAAGCTACGGGAAATCCAATGCAGAAAAGCGAAAGAATACCCCCCCCCCCCTTATAATTAATGAAACGGAAAGTAACAAAAAGCATAACTTGCAGACGAAATGGTGAAAATTACTCTGCAAAAAAAAAGGAAAAGCTATTGATACAGTGCGGCAAACTTAATGCTATGAAATGAATGCAAAATAAAGTTACGGAAAATCTCAAGAATTACGGTACTTACAAAACGTTGTGAAAGTGCAAAAGACAGAAAGATTAAAATACGGTGAAACACCAAAGACAACGCCTGCTGACGTTCTAAACCTAAAGGGAGGGGGTGAGAGGGGGAAGGAGGGAGAACCTCTTCCTCATCTTATGTTGGCATTTTAAATCTACGCATTTTTAGCGCATTTCCACAAAAATAAAAACAAGTTAAAAAATTATCAAAGTCCTCGTGTGACGAAGGGACTTCAGCGCATTTTTGTGTGGCAGATCAGTATTCAATTAGCCACTTTTGAATCAACCATCAATAAAAGATCTTGTCCAAGGCTACTACATTCACTTTGTCGGTACCCGCTTCCCACTTTCCGCGTGTACCCGCAATTAGCGTTTAAAGTTTTGACTCCACCATCAGTAAAATCTTGTCGGGGGCTACCATATTCCCTTTGTCGGTATCCACTTCCGATGTCCCGTTCCCTTCCAATGCGCTTTTGAAGATTTGACTCCACCATCAGTAAGATCGTGATTCGTGTCGGGGGCTACCATCATTCTCTTTGACGTTACCCCCTTCCGACGTCCCGTTCACCCGCAATTCGCGTTTGAAGATTTGACTCCACCATCAGGAAGATCGTGTCCGGGGCTACCACATTCCCTTTGACGGTGCCCACTTCCGACGCCCCGTTCACCCCAAATTCGCGTTTGAAGTTTTCACTCCACCATCAGTTAGATTTTGTCGGAGGCTACCACATTACCTTTTTCGGTGCATACTTATAATATTACACCCACATTTTGGTGGATTTCGCTAAAAACCTTCCACAAGATAGTACTTAATTTTTGGGGCACTTCTTATTACTCGAGCTTCTATTGGCGACACGAGAAAGAGAGACAGCGATTCGAGATTTACGAAACGTTAAACCGCGTGACAAAATTCGCAACGGAAGGTAAAAGGTCCCGAAGTTTACTACCTCTCGAAGACGTGCGCGCGCCTTGAAAAAGGTCGTTAATTTCGCCCCTAGGACAAAAAACAGAATTCCGCCACGCAGGAGTTGTGCGCGTTTACAACATTTTTCCGACGACACCAATTTCAAAAGAATCGTGCCAAACTTTATAAGAAGAATTTCATTTTAATGCTTCAAGGCAAAAGTGTAAAAAAACCGTTTTTTACATTTTCCATAATTTTACACTTTTGCCATTTATTAACGATCCTAGAGATCGTTTATAATTTTGTATTGCTGTCTGTCGTCTGTCTGTTGGTCTGCCCGTCTGTTCCTTTGTCTGTCCGTCCCTCTATCTGTCCGTGTGAACGATAACTTTGTTTAGAAATGTCCGATCGCTTTGACAGTTTGACATCTCCGTTAGTTATGAACTGGATTGCATGAAATTCAATATGGGCATAGCCATATAATACGCAATGCCAAAAGTTGAGTCGAATCGATTCAAAATACACAGTGTCCTTTTCGCATCTCGACCATTTATAAACCGAATTGCAAACTATTTAGAAAAGTATTTGAATGAAATTTGATACATAGGCACTTGGAATAAATGAAACTCTAACGCCCGTTTCAAAATTTGGTTTTGCGCATGCGCAGTGCCAACTTTTTAATTTATGGAAGAACTTAAACGAAATTTGATACAGTCATAGGCACTTGGAATAATAGTCCAGTAAATGCGTGTTTCAAACTGCCGTTTGCGGAACAAAATTGCGGAATTTTTTTTATCAACGGTTTTATATGTTATCGAATGTGCTGCAACCGAATTTATTGTTTGCTGCCTTGTAGGAAGTCGGCTTCATACCGAAATACGCAAAAAAAATGGAATTTTTCAGTACTTTTTTCAGTTTTTTGCTCATATCTCAAAAACATACGTTTCCGTCGCCCTATACAAAATTAAAGTAGATAAAATTTCCTACAAAATACATTATTTAGCTTTTATTTTGCGATAAGCGGTACCCGCGCTAGAGTTCGTTAAAAAACCACGATTTTTTGAATTTTTACAAAAGCGCCCAGTACCACATCTTTCAAATCGAGGAATAAACAAGTAATCAACAAAAAACTTAATTCAAACGTAGAAGAGGACCTAAGGCGCGTCTATCACTTTTCAATGTAATATTTTTTAAGTGGAAGAACAGTCACAATTTAGTATTCAGCCTGGACCTTCCACAGCTCCTGCCTCTTTGTTTGGACATTCGATTGCCCAAGACCCTTTACCTGGGACTTCTACACCTTTTCCACTTTTATTCGAGAAGTTTTAAATTGTATTTGAGAATTTGTTACTTGTATTTGAGAAAACGTCAAAGTAGATGAGAATAGTCAGTTGGATTTGAGAAAACATCAAATGTATTTGAGAATAGTCCATTGTATTTGAGAAATTATCATTTAATTTTATTGTATTTCAGAATGTAATATTATTCCTAATGAATTATATAATTGTTTTACGAGTTATTCTTCAATTCAAGTGTACGGAGTTCATACCGTTTGTGCTTTAGAAACCACATATTATCCATTTTTACATCACGTTTTATTCCTTATATGTTCAAGAATCTGGAGAAACAATTTATATTTCAAAAACTTCTTTGACCTTTGAATTATACACAAAAGGTTGCCATTGTAATCGAACGTCTACTTTATACACTTTCAGAGAATGAGCTATGAGTTTTAATGCAATATAAACCGTTCACTCATAATTTACATACATTTAAGAACAAGAAATAACAAACATTTCCGAAAAAAAATGTATATTTTTTAAAAACGGTATGAATTCCGTTAGGCATGTTTCCCATAAGAAAGCTATTGTGAGATAGGCAACACACAATACTGATAGCGCGCCCTTAAGAATCAAATTTTTATAATTCCGCTACTGTATGTAGTCCCGCAACAGCAGCAGCAGCACCAGGCTATGTTATACATGTGATTTTGTTATTGATTCTCAAATACTTAATTTTATCATTTCTTGAATACAATTTACTACTCTCAAATTCATTTGATGCCTTCCCAAATACAAATCACTATTCTGAACTACATTTGTTGTTTTCTCAAATACATTTTACTATTCTCAAATACAATTGATACTTTCTCAAATTAACTTGATAGTTTCTCGAATAAAAGTGGAAAAGGTGTAGTTGACGACGCAAAACAAAACGGAAACGTACAAACTAACTGCGGCTATGACGTCAGGTCACTTAAAGGAATGATGATCCTGGGCACATATTTCAATCATTTCGTTAGCTTTATTTTGAGTATAATGTAACTATAACTAATAATTTGTAAATATATTAATGTTTTTCATACAAAACTTTGTGAGAAGATTTAATATGCCAGATATCTTTTGCGGTTGCGTTACAAGAGATGAAAGTGGGCGTTTTAGACGTTTGTGTGAAAATGAAAAAAAATATTGTGT